GACTTCCCTCTTTCGGGCAATCTATATTTTACCAATCTCTCTTACAAAGCTATGTTATTTGTCAACCTTCTCTCTTCTTTTTCCTTGACCCCACGTTGTCTGGTCTGGAACTGCGATGAAAATCGTATGACCCGCTTCCTCCCTAGATCTTGCTTGTTCATAACCACCATTCCAATTACTAACATCATTGTCATTGTCATTTGTCAGCTTTTATTCTATCCGGAAGGAATTATTTTTTTAAGCTTTTTAAAAAAAAAACAGCAACATTAATAACCGCAAAACGAACAAGCGGACATAAGACGAGTAAACGTCAATACGAACAGAGAAACAAATGCAATTAACAAAAAAATCTACAGACATCCTATTGAGTTGTAATAAGCCAAAATTAATTTGAATGACTAATTTAATAATTCAATAATTTTAATAACTAATTTAATAAGGTCATAATTTTAATAACTCATTTTAACAACTATTTTAACTAATCAATGACGATTTTTAATGATAATCTTAATAACTTGTTACAGTTAGTTCGAACGAGACTGTTCAATTTGTTTTAATTAAATTTACTCATTTTTTTTTTCATTTCAAAAGTTTTGGCGCTTTCCCCCATTCCTTGAAAAATCTACTCATTAGATGAATAGGTTCCTACGCCAAAATTACTCCGCCTCAGTCTTCATTCACTTCATCGTTATCATTAAAAAAAATGTTTGAAAAGGGGCAAGACAAATTAGTTTACTTTTAGCCATAAACGAAATAATCCTGAACGTTGGTACAAATTCCAAAGTTAGCACCAGTTTGACGTTTTTTCTGGTCTTACTTCAGTTATATATAAGGAAAAAGTTGAATGATGTCATTCACCAGCAATTTTAAGGTCATCATCACCATAATTTAATTTCATGTGTGCGTTGAAAATTGCTTAACATTATACTTGAACATTAGAAAAAAAAACATCATCAACGGGAGATAACATCACCATAATTGAGACAGAGAATAGAGTTTTCTTAGAGGTCGTTTTTCCAGGCCGGTTATCATAGATCTCGTGAACGTCTCTGATCCAGAGTCTAATCCTACTGACTAATTTTCATTACCGCTTACACCACATACAAACTGATCCGGCAAGCTGTGCATTCCCTTTAGTCTTTGCGCGTTTGAGTTTCGTGGTGTGTGGTAAGGTTTTCGCTTATCTTTATAAAACATTTCTTGGTTGAAATTCAGCCAAAAGTGGTAACTGTTCATAATTATGACCAAAGAAAAATGAAGACATTTTCTGCGTGAGTCTCGAGAATTGATTGGCCATGATAAAATTTGTTTGTCTAAATTATTCAATAACAATTTAGTTGTGGAGACAGAAGTCATGTGAAACACATCAATAAATTCAAACATCCTCTTCGATGGTTTATCATAAAGAAACGAAGAATAAGCAAGATGTCTGCTGTTTGTATGTTAAATCGTCGAATGAAGGAAATATTGTATTCACTATGATTTCATTTAAGTTTAAAAGCTACATCCCACGGTGTTATCGGAGAATCGAATCATTTCGATCGCGTAAGGCGCGCATGACAACCACAAAGGGAAAAAAGTTGAAATCTAGTCGATATGCTGATCGGTTTTGCACATACTTATGTCCTATGTTATACAAGAGCTTTTAGCTCCGATTCTTCCCAAAGAGTCCAACTTATAAAAATTTAAAGCAGTTCCGGTCCAGTGGTGAGTGGATTTTCACCTTTAATAGTGGCTCCTCATAAGGTCACTAAATTATTTGGTAAAGGTAGTGTGAGTTGCGTCAGCGTAAGTTCTCATGAGGCATTATGGAATAATTGTCTCGATCGTTCTTCGACAAGTATATAGTTGTACGCTTGTGATTAACGAGTATGCATGTTTTTGTCATGGGAAATGGGGGGGGGGGGGGGGAAGGGGCTCGTATCATTCGACAAACTGCTGATCAAAATCTTGTTGTAGCTTTTTTAGGAAGAAGGTTTTGCACGAAATAAAACAATCTGCCATAAAAGATGTATATTATGAGCCATCGAACCTGTAACACGAACCTGTTTTTTTTCTTTCGCTTGGTCAAATACAACTAACGCCTTTTTGTTTGCGTGTACTTTGCTGTGAGACGTGTTTCCTCTCATTTTTATTGTTATTTTTTTTTTTTGCTATTTTTACGGCTCAACTCTCTATTTTTGCAAACGTTCAGTCCATGATCAATTTATTCTCAATCTTATTCATTTCAAATGTTTTTTCTAAAATTTAGAAAGTACTAAGAAGAGAAAGATTACGGTTCTTATTGTTATCACATATGCGGCTAAATTAAACTAGAAGTCCGTTTCTTTGGTAAATGCACTCTTCGTTGTTTTCCTCGACGAAAAATCTTCCCTGAGTCTGTTTTAACGAAAGAAATTTGTCGCAAGAGTCGTAAACACTTTTTAAGAGAAATCTTCTCTGGAGGGAATTTTCATGGCTTAACTGACTTCCCTTCTTTTCTCGCTTGCGTGAAAGGTCAGAGATTATTTTTGCCCAGGAAGAGATATATGAGAAAGGAAAAAAAGATTACAGATAAAATTTTGTTTGCGTAGCTTAAATGGTTTTTCTTCATTGATCTAATCACATGACCCGACAACAATCTAAGCCTTAGGATCACCGCATTCTTGAACGATCTTAAAATTCCATAAATTTTGGTACACTTTGAGATAGGTTTTTTTACATCATTTTATGATTAAAGTCCTACTTAAGTGAAACACTGAAACTGGTTTTGAAATAAAACATTTCTTCCGACTATCTCCTATTTTGGTGTAACACATTTGTACTAGATTTCTCAGCAGCTGCCACTGACAGCAGTAATTAACAAGTTCATAATCAAGCTGTTAACGAACTCTATAATAGACTATGCTATAATTATATTTTCTAGCGTCTAAAGGACATCCGGAAGGAAAGCTATTTCCTCACAAAAATTTTTTTTGATAGCAAAATCTCTACGAGCAACTGATTCGTGATGCATTAAAACGGTTAAATAGATGTTCATTTAATATTTGTCTTGGGGATAAGCCATCTTTTTCAATGAAAGTCGGTTCGTTTTCCTCTTCTCGTGTGATAACTTCCCCGACAGCCGCATTCTCGCTGAGGAACGAAACATACCCGCATTTCATAAATAACATCGGTACTAATTGGATGAAGACAACGTGACAACTTAATTGAAAGTGATCATTGATCTTGAAGGGGTACGATGCTAATGTGGCAATGTTTATCATATGCTGGACTGGAATGGTTCTGCATCCTCAAGTTATTGTACAGTTGGTTAAAAACCGTTTACAATGATTAGCGCTTAAAGCGAGATCATGAAAGATCTTGATCAGCCAGAGGTGATAAAAGTATAACTATTTGTGGAAATGATTTCTGCAAGAACTGGACTTTGATTGCAACACTTTTCGACCAGTTTTAATCAGGTCCATTGGGATCGCCATAAGGACTCATCAAACGTTACGAAAAACTTATGATTGTGACATTTTCAACCGGAAAATATCAGTCTAGATCACGTTTTTGAAGGAGAGTCACATGTAAGATTTGTGCTATGGAGCATAAACTTCTATTTCAATTCAAATGAAATAGAAGTTCCAAGTGTTGTTTGTAATTGGATGAAAGCATCTGTTTAAGTGTTTACTATGCTATACAAAGTAGTTCCAACATTGAATGACTTTGAAGATGAGGTTCTAATGTATCACCACTCAAAAGAAAACTAGTGAGAGGTATTTTCAGTTAGTATTATGGTTGAAATTTAATTTCAATAAATTGCAATCCAGCATAGTTTGCGCCTTTGTAAATATTGACTAAGTTAATCAGGTCAGCCGGAGGGCGACTTATTATCTCAAAACTGTATCGCGCGTACAACATCCAAAATTTGATTAAAACGCTGCGCCATTACAACCTCACGCTTATATATCACGATGTAAGTTTATGAGGTAAATTTTCGCGATATTTTTACGGAAAAAATTATGTATCAAGGGCTTCAAAAAACTAGTTTACTGTCACTGCAAAATACAGGGTTTTTGGGTAATAGAGCTAAAACATGCAAAATAAGCCATGAATTGTTGGCAGGATTACTGGAGATGGATTAGGATTTGAGAAATTAAGAAGGATTGTGAGGTTAGTTCTGTATCAGGCTAAACGATCTGACATCTAATGACAGCGGTTTTACTGGGACTGATAAAAAGAAGCTTCAAGTCAGGCACTCAACGTTGACCAATGAAATTTGGGTAGGATTTCTAAACGATTGTTTTACTCCTAAAGCGCTCCCAATTACTGTGGTGATGAAGAATAATTGTTGGATGTTTGAATTCCATGGCTCTAATGGAAAGTATGGTAACATGTTGTCCCATCAGAAAGGGGATAATCGAAATAAATTGCAAGCGCTGAATGAATTTGTGAATATTTAAAAGCGTGAATTGGTTTGAAAATAATGAAACTTAATTAGATTAACATGCTAATGTTTCAAACACAAGAGAAATTTAAAGGACCATAATTCTTTCCAAAGATATTTGAATTAAAAGTTTCACTATTTGAGGATCATCCTACAAAAGTCGTTGAGCTGCTGAATGAAATTATTGTTAATCGCAGGCACGAGGTTACAAGTTTATGTTAAATCGATGATGGTAAATATCACTTTAAATATCATAGCTAAATATTTTGTGTCCCATTACAGAGCGCTAAAAGTATCATTTGTAGTTACCAAACAACACAAATAAATCACCCATCTTAGCGTTTTAATCGAAACTGTAATTGTTACTACACCTCAAACAATATGTACATCAATCGGAATAAAAAGCGTCAAAACCTTTAAGATCTACAACTCGAGATGTCTTGTTGCACAATCTTATAACATGTGAAGGAATAACTTACAACACTTTGCGACACATATTGAATGCCTAAATGGTAATCATTTAGACTACAAAAGAAGTAAATTCGTTTAAAAGAGTCTTGTAAAATAGGGCATTTCTCTGAAATGCAGAGTAAAGCGTTATCAATCACTGGCGGAAAAGAAGAACTTCAACATCCGCAGGGCCTCAGTCCAACCCTGTAATCTTTACTCATTGTGCATAAAATTAATGGATTTATAGCACTATTTGCATAAAGAAGGGAAAGACATGTTACCAAGCCAACGTTCACATCGGAAGTTCGCTCCATTCCCGTAAACTCCAAAACGAGTGCAAATGTTACATACGGTAGTAAACACAAGCTAAAGGCAAACACAATAACGATTAACATTTTAACGAGTTTTCGCTTCTGCTCGAGTCGCATGACTGTGATGGAGTTCTTGGCCGTATTGCGGTTATCATGTATTATTCTTACTTTCCACAACGCCAAAACAACTCTGATATAACAGTACCCGATAAGAAACAGTGGAAATGTTGCCAGACACGCCGTTAGCACTTTGTGAATTATCCGTTCCATGTTACTCCTCCAGAAAGGAAAACAAACTTTTACGCCGTTTTCTATTTCGACAAGTTTAAGAATGAAAGATGTGGGAATTCCTACGACAAGATAGCTAAAGATCCAAATGAACAAAATGCAGATTTTTGCTTGTGTTTTCGTGAAACGCGCTTTGAACGGCGTAACAACTGCTCGGTAGCGATCCAAGGCGATTGCTGTCAAGGTCATGATGGAAACGGTCAAAAACACATCGCCAAATGGAAAGAAAATCTTACAAGCAAGTTCGCCAAACGGCCAAGATGCAAGTTCTTGCAACAGACCGACGGGTAAACTTAGAACCAGCACAGCCAGGTCGCTCAGGGCCAAGTTCGCAATAAAACAACTGCTTGTTGTCTTAGATGAACCCTGTTGAAGAACTCCGTATATCACAATGGAATTACCGAAGAATCCAACCATGAATATAATTGTGAAGATGACTAACTGTAGAATTGCATGAACTGGAAGACTGTCCGAGTAAAAACTCTCGGCGGGCATCTCTTCAGGAACAGAGTCATTCGATGAAATATGAAATTCATGCGCCATCGTCCAATTCAGTTGCCTGTTTGTTATTTGATTAAATCTTGTGAAGATACAATTTGGTCCACACAATTGCGCCAAATACACCTCTAAAAGCTTAACAACGAACTCCTCGCCAGTAAAGACTGACTATTTCATTGCAGGCTGTGGTTATAGGCATTTACAGGAATGCTTAAATTTATCAGTCGCTGCAATCGGCGCCTCCGCTGTCACAGCTAAAATTTCCCTCAACTCGGGTAATTAAACAACTCGTCTCAAGCCGCCGTTATCAGATTGATCCAAACAGTCTACGACGAGGCGGAAATCGTGATTAAAGCCGAGCTCTCTTGAAGTACATACAGCACACCTTTAAGATTTAAGACTAAATTTAGTCAGAAACACCTCGTGGGCCAAGTTTGTTCGACAGTGAGTCAGTAGATACGCAGTTGACATTAATCACTGGCTTGTATCGACAATGAAGATTGCCAGAAATGTTTACATTACACAATAGTATTTTTCTTGAAATCCGACGCCTGGCTGTGTCTTTCTGCGATTCCGGGCCTGTTTTTTTACATTTTAATTCCTGGCTGTTGCAAACAATTCACACATCTTAACGTAATTATTTTCCACTTGGATTTTGTCATGCGAAAGGGCGCCTCGAATTTCGCTCGTGCGCAGTTGGTTACAAGTGTGCTCTCTCCATAAAAAGGATTCCTCTTTTAATCTTCATTGTTAAATCGCTTATTTTTGGCGAAATCGTACAGTTTTAGGGACTCTTGAAAGCTTCACTCTATCACACGCTTCCGACATGTCGGGAAGACACATTGGCTCCAATATTCCCGATGATAAAATGTTATTGATAACGAAGAAAAATAGCCGGAAATGCTCCTTTTGTTTCGTATCAGTCGGAATCACGCAATCCCTGTTCCCATGGATTCTTTCGGTGTAAAGGCGCAATTTTTTGGAGGATTATCCTTGCATAACATCAGCTTTTGATTTAAATCAACAAGTATTTTCTTCGTTAAAGGCTGTTAACACGCCTTTTTTTATTCCAAAACTCAACCGAACCAACTCAATGGGAACTAAAGGTTTGCTCCATTTTTCGACACTTAAGAAATTTCACACCTCGAGGACATTTGGGTCATGGCGACAGACAAAGGTAGTTGGGTTTACCGCTAGAAATTTGATCTTGAACACGTTTTTTTCTTCTTCTTCTTTTAGATGGTAATCCAAGGCTTGAAACGGCAACAGACAAACTTTCGCCTTCGAGCGAAACAGCGAATGTACAAAGCATTGATCCATATCGGTAATTCGGCTTAAGCTGGCGTCTCCATGACTAGAGTACCTTGAACGTCCCCGCATTAAAATTAATTTTCCATTCGTCAAACACCGCAATAATAAAGACTCATTCACGGTACATCCATTGAATTAAAATTCCAATAATGCCCACAAAGAATTAATAAAATACGGCTCCTCGTAATCGGGGAATATCTTGTTCTCCACGAACGAAGTTGTTTTTCATTATTCTTGTAAATCCTAGTAAAAATCCTGTTTCCCAAACGCTCATATTTATTCGCCCAAACTTCCTATTGCGTGACATATTATTATTGATCTGAAGAACACTGCGAAATGAAAACTTTCAATTTTTGGTCATTTCTAATTTTCTTACTGTCGGAAATGTCTCAAACACAGAGGTTAGATTTTCAAAATTCTTGTAAGATTTTAATGTAGACAATATTACAAGACTGACCCAGTGTACAGCTTTAAAGTGATTTATTACAGTGGAATGATGCGAACTTCAATAACTAATTACATAAAATTGGTTCCTTCTTTTAATTAGCAATTATTCACTGAGGAAGAGGTTAATATTAGTGGATATTTACCAAGCTGCGAAGCGGTGATGTCTGCGATGTCCACCACTTTCAACGGCGGACACTGAGGTAAATTAAAGTATACCACACACAAACAATAAACGAACAATTTTTTTTCTTTTTTTATGTCGATATACTGTAAAATGGTCGGAAACCATTGACGAACGATTTTCTCTCTTCGGTTGCTCACAGGTGAACAGTTGCTCGCTGATCATTTTCCAACTTGCTTTTAAGTGCGCGCGAAAAACACTACATGTATTCAACTGTGTCACGCTATATACTAATTGACGACATTTATACATTTCTTATCGGTATTACGTTTTTTTGAAGCAAAGATTCATATATATTTTTTTGAAGCAATTTCGTTTCTTTGTGTTAATTTATTTCAGAATTAATTATCCAAATGTCTGGTTTTCATATGCTCGCCCCGATCTACGGTTTCATGAGATTGTCTGAGTTTTCCAGACCTTACACGACGCGATCCTTTTTTTCAGTTTGGATCATGTGGAAACCAGGTGATCGCCCGGGTCGTTAGAGAACGTTTGGCCTGGTTTCCATATAATTGTCCCGATCGTTTGAGCATTACTTGGGACGACCTAATCTGTGCCAGGCCTTCCGTTTACGGAGATGAACGAAACAGAGCATGCTAAAGCTGGAAAACGAGTTGACGTGCAGCAGTTACGGTTGTGATGCCCCTTTCCGCGGGTGCCATTTCTTGAGCACTCTGCACCTTTTTGCTCATCTTCACTAACTGAGAGCCTGAAACCTGCTTGGACGATCAAGGGAAACCCCAGAATCTCTGACTATGACTGGGTGGTACTGGAAAGCGATTGGATTTTACGCAGAAGGAAGGACTGTAGCCTGTTAGTTTGGCGAATTTTCCGGGGTTTTTGATCGCTCAATAAACATGGAGCCATCACACTTGATGTTCCGCCGCTCAAAACCTGCCATTCAACTTCTTATCATGCAGGCATTTGAAGAGTGAAGTGGCAGGACTATCAAGGAAGAACACTTTGGAACGTGCCGGAGCTCCTAACGTAAAAACGTTTCTTGTTCACACTTGGTACTCGCCAAAGTATTAGGCTTTAGCAGCGGCGCAAGATGGTTTCATGCTTACCTACTGGGTACCTCACAAAGAATACCTTCAGACTCACATCTGGTTATTCATCATGGAGTTACGAATGACAGTTTTTATGACACATAAGTTTCATGTTGAATTAATAAAGCGGGCCTGTGAGAAATGAGCGGCTAGTAGTTATCGGCCGTAGTTGATCTTTTTCCAGAGTATAGGATGCACTGATGTATAAATTAAGCTTGATGACACTTTATGAATAACTACAGAGCGTGCATTCTCTTCCAAGAACAAATGGCAACTTTTATACAGCATTAGGTTGTGGCTAGCTAGGTTGAACCTGTTGTAAATCTAAGCCTTTTACATAAGCATGTTCGATTGGTCAGCGGTAACCTGCGGGTCCACCTCCTTTCCTATGATCAGCTAGCGCCAGTATCTCACCGTCCTTCTCTCTGTAGACGAGTTGAACCACTCCAACGATTTGGAAAGGAGTTCCTGAGTAATTTAAATAAACAAGTGAATAAACAGATAGACGAATTAACAAATTCAGTCAAACCAGTAGTAGGGGCACCGTATTAAACGGTCGCCCTGTATTTAGTGGTCAGTTGTCAAAGTTCCTAATTTGTTTTCCGCTAATCATATGATTTTTACCTCTATTTAGCGGTCACCTCTGTTGAGCGGTCGTGGTCACCCTTAAGTAAGTCCTAACAGCCTGTTTTTACTATTTTCCAAATGGTCACTGAAGGTGGAACCATTCCAATGTTACTAAGAATAATCTTTCATTTGTATGAAGCGGTTAACCTGTAGTAAGCGGTCACCACGTCATTCCCCGTGGGTGACCGCCTAACACAGGTTCAACTGTAAGTAAATTATCGAATGAATGAGAGTTAAATGAATGAGCAGCGGGAAGATGTACTAGTCCGTAGGGTATGTATAACAATCCCCTTTGCGCACTGGAGTCCATGTGTATGATTACCCTTTGCTCACCATCTCATACCCAGGCCTCCTCTCCCGCAACTGCTGGTACAGCCACTGCTGCAGTAATACGTTTGTGCGTATACGCATGACAAGATGTTAGGACTGATTTTGACTTTTGAAAGGTTTTCGCGAGGCTGGGGAGTTTAGAGGTTTAGTCAAGAGTGGCGAATGTCTTGTCAGAACGGCGTGAGTGCTGTGGAACGGTCAAATGCAATTTAACACTAGACTTTCAAATCCGTTTTTTTGAAATAGATTTATATTTTCGTTTAGTTTATATTCCTGTTTAAAGACATTTATAGCTCTGGTAAAAGCAAAAAATGACCTCTTTTAGTACAGCTTTCGTTGATAATCGAACCACCGTTGTCAGACAAAACGCACAACACCCTGTGCTCCAGACTTTCAGCCGCCTCTCAACAATGGCGCCGTCGCTTCTAGTGACGTGTGCATAGAAAGTTTTTCTGGTATTAAGAACATTAACATTAAAAAAGCATAAATTCACGGTGGTCAAAAATTGGAAACAAATTAAAAGCTCAGACTTGTTCAACATCTTAACACACCCTCTCGGAAACTGAAATAAATGTTTCGCTAAGTCGACTTCTCAGTTTTCGACTCGTCGTGAATTTAAAAATGCGTGCAGCTGCGATATGTTGATTGTTTTTTTGGGGACGAGAAAATCACGTTTAATTTAAAGAAATAACCACGAAATATAGGTTAAGCAAGATAGAGTATCATCCAAATGTAACTAAAGAATAAATGTTAAAATACTTGAAAGGGTGGAGGATGAAGAAGATTAAAGTTCAAGAATTGCAAATCACAGTGGGAAAAACATTTAAAAACTGTGACAGCACGGTAGACACTCCTTGTCTGGTTGTATTTGTAGCCAATCTGATCTGGTTAAAATTGAAATGGCCTTACACCAGTTTAGGCGAGTTTCTAGTTTCATTTAGTCAGTTTAATGAGGTTATCTTAACTTCATCGGTTGACAGATTTTATGTGATCGAAACGACACAGTGAGTAAGAAAAGTAACTGTCCAAATGGAAACAAGAGTTATCCAAAATGATCCAAAATGGCTCAGTATGGAGCAGTTTGTCATGGGTTTTAAATGGCAACATTAAACATTGAAACACCGACCGTGATTTAATTTTCATTCGCAGCTGATCTGATCTCGTTAACTCGCGAGATGCTTTATTCAAAAAAAATCCGGCGCACAATCTTTTGTTAAGTGATTAACGAAGTTATCTTAAATCCATTGGTTCAGATGTCCAACTGATGTCATAAAAAAAAATTTTCAAGTTCTTTGTTTCTTTAACATGACGCACTATTTTAAATCATCGCAAGATTTTTCCTGATTAAGTAAGAGTGCGACTCGATAAAAGAATAGATCGAAAGCTGTTTAAGAGCTAACAGACCAAAATCATCCTGGTCATAATTATTATTTATGAGAATATTTAGCTTTTGCACAACTGTAGACGCAGGATAAGACTAAACAGTGAAAAACAGTGGCGTATATTGAACTAATTAAATCATCTGAATAAAACCAGCTCAGACTAATAAATCTTCCGTTTCCTTTCTCTCAGTGGAATCAACTTTCGTCCCTAATTGGCTATCTCATTGGGAATTGGTTGAAATTTCTATTGCCCTGTAATTTACACTTTACTGGCGTTGCGAAATTCATTCATACCAAATAGTGAGGTATGATCCAATCATTTATCAGGAATCAAATTTCTTATTGAAGAATGATTTATGTCATTGAACTGAATATGTTCTTTAGTCGACATTAAGAGGACGGAGAGATGTATAGATGTCAGCTGGCCACGAGTTTCATGTGTATCGTACCTAGAACTCTTTTTTCTGACTTACAGAAGTTAGGTTATATTTGGGTATAGCTTTTCTTAGAATTGTAAGATAAATTGGTGTCTCATGTATCGGTTATACTGTATATGGGTAAAAATTAGATATTTCAGGATTATAAAGTCCTTTTTCCCTAGTCAGACAAAGCCTGATTTCTTTAAATCATTGGTTTTGCATTTGGTTGTCCTTGAACAGAGGGGACATCAGCCCTTAATGACAAGTGCTAAGGGGGGAGCTGGGAATCTTAAAAGTGATGTGAGTTAGGAAGTAGATAGTAACACTGGCTTTTAGTGGTGGCTGGGAGAGAAGACGGAGGGGGGAGAGGGATCATGAAATCTTCTACCGTCAATATGGTGGTTCAAAAAAAGCACCATATACTTTACGGGTGGGGACACTTAAATTCTCTGTTGTCGCGACAAAAATCCTCCACACCCCCCCTCTCTCCCCACTCAGGCGATAAAAAAATTACCGGTCCCCTACTATCAGTGTTACCGTGAATGTTACCGTGAGCCAGCTGTGATTCGTTTACACTGTACAATCGAGGATCAAAAGTCGTAAAATTGTCTTTCCTTTTCGCTCCTACCTGTAATTTTTACGGTGTCGTTTGTAATTTTATGTCCAAAGCGTTTAAGCTCGTCAATGTACTGTTTGGGAAAGTCTTTTTCGACTAGGACCAGATTCGGAAACAGTTGGCTGTGGAGACGAGACTTCGACACAGCGTCCCGTAAACTCTCTCCAAACCAAAAATGGTTCATCAGAACCTATGATAGCAAAGAAATAGGATACATGTATTCGGTTTTCTTTCCCTAAAATAAATGCTTGAGCCTTTAAATCGGAGCCCTGCCCGGAGCAAAAGACCATTTCGCTCACCTCACAATTAAAGATGAAAGGC